TCCGGTTTAACTCTGGCCGGTAATCCGATCGACCGATTCTTTTTCTGTTGGCCATGCGAAATACTTTCCAACGTGTTGATCCATTTTTCTTTTTATCGCCTGCAATTCAAGTTTCGAATCATTTGTACCATTGCGAATCGATCAGAAAGGAGGATCGAGGCAAACATCGTCTGTTTCACTTGCACACAAATTAATACAATCTCATTTTCTTTTTTCTAATTGAGTAAAGTACTTACGATCTGTTCAGAACGTTTCATCGAACGTTCCCTCTCTCTTTTTTTTTTAATTAACAAAGTAATTGTACAGTTATTTATCAAATAACTCAAATTTCTTGTGGATTCAATTCTTTCAAAATTTTTGAATAATTTCAATAGAGAAGGTACCCAAGTAATTTCTGAAAATGGAGCTACTCTATATAAAAAATATCTGTTATTAATTAATTTCCGACTCAAAGAATGCTCGTAGAAAATTATTGTTATTATAACTTTCACAAACATGCTTCTTAAGGAATCATCAAAATTACAGTCATTACGCGTTTTTGTCACTGTTGTAAGAAAAAATATATATTATGAATTAATTTTCGACTCGAGAAATATTCATAAAAAATTGCTATTATTATAATCTTCAGAAACGTTCTCCTTAAGGAATCATGAATTTCAGATTTCCTATATACTTTCTTTAATAGCATTAACAAGGCTCGTTTTTTTTTTTTAAATAACAGTCATTAGTCGTTCTTGTTAATTATTGACTAATTTTCGACTCGAGAAATATTCATAAAAAATTGCTATTATTATAATCTTCAGAAACGTTCTCCTTAAGGAATCAACTTCAGATTTCCTAAATAGATACTCATTCTAATAGTATTAACGAGGTTCCTTTTTTTATTTCTAAGAGATATGAATAGAAAGGAGATCGTGATTGTCAGACGAATACAACATAAAAATTATCATTCCAGGGAGGAAGAGGACACAGGTGTGTCAAGACTGCAAGCGGCACGAAGGTGGAAAATCGAGGAAAAGATCGGCTTCGCGGAACAGAAGCCCGAAGAGGCGACAATCTCAGCAATTGCAGTTAAAAAATTCCCACGAAGACGACAATAGTAACAAGTTCGATACCGATGATCACAGAAACGACGAAATTGAACACGATACAGAGAATCACGAGTTAGATAAGAATGAAAGTGGTAGCACTTTATGAAATTGTTTATCCATTTACGATTAGTGATTGTCAAATTAAAATGTACAACGTATCGCTCTCATTGTATAGTACTCTCGCTATTTTTTCTATATGATATGATTTTTAAATATATTTGTCATTCCAAGAACTCAGTTTCAACAACGCTAAGTAGTAATTTAATGTCAAGTGTTACAGTGCCCATGATTGTCTTTTCGTTCGCTAAAAAAGATAGGCGAAAAGAAATTACGAGGCACCATTTAAAAAATCACGGCATTCTAAGTTTTGGAGAAATTTCAAAATTAAAATTCAAAATTGTAATTTTTAAGTTTATCGTTTTAAAAATTAAAGCGTATGTACGCACAGAGCAAGAATAAGATTTAAATTAAGGTGAAAGTGTGCCGAAAAGCAGCAACAGGACAGAGCGAGAATATTTTCAAAGCCGACAGTAGTGCAAGAGTTAAAAAAAAAAAAGAATTTGAATTGGTCCAGTAGTAATGAAAATAGTTAAGACGATCAAGTTATGTTTGTCCACCCTGTATGTATATATCACAAGACGATGTAAAACATTTTGAACGTAACGGGGGAAATTATTGCTATGAATCATGTACACTTCGTACCAGAAGAAAGGATTTTATCTTCGGCGTTGGTTAGAGGATCGTGGAAACCATCCTTGGCGTGGATTTTTCTAACTCAGGACTAGTAGAAGCCTCGAAGCAAAACATTTTTCAACGTAGTCGCATGGCTAAAGCTTTTTGGTGTTTATCGGTTTAGCCAATGGCATTTTTCCGTGCTGTGAAGCTTCTATGTGATACCGGGTCGTGCAGTTTCCGCCGTTTCTATTGGATATGTCGTTAGCTCTTCAGACTATTTTGTAAGCCTTGTAAGTAGGTATATGGAAGTAAAACTTGCAAATGCATAGTTTGTTTGATCTTCAGATATAGCCGTAAGGTAGATGTATATTAAACTTTGATATTACATTTGCATATTGCACCCCTTATTGTATTTTGTATACGTATTCGAATATTCTTTGCATACCGGGTGTCCCAGTTTGATCCGATCAAACTTTTTCAAACTTTATCAGTATATTCTATGGATATAAATAAGAACAAAATGTTATATAAACATAGGTCGTTTGAAGCTTTGTTAAAAAGTTATAGCAATAATACGAAATACGAAGGGAATGTTCAGTTATAATACAAAATAGAAATGGATCAGCTATTACACACATCTAGTCTGTTGAAGGTGTTCAATGTAACTTATGACAGTACCATTCTTGTCTTGTATCATAGTAACCGCAAGTTTGTTACCATTCCCTTTGTATTTCGTGTTTTTGTTATAACTTTTCAACGAAGCTTCGAACGACCTATGTTTATATAACATTTTCTTCTCACTTATACCCATAGAGCACACTGACAAAGTTTGATCAGAAAAAACTTGGACACCCGGTATACATCGAAGCCAATAAATTGAAGCCAATGAATTGGTTCCCTTTTATCTTCCATCGCGTGCATTAATTAACCGATGGTACAATAGCATTACAACGAATGTCATATATCCTTGTCGTTGTTTCTAATGACAAAACGTTCTGCATCTATTTCAAACTATTCTATCTTCAGTTGTATCGAATCGAAAAGTCGTTATCACGACTAAAATGCAGCGATTGAAAATGAGATTTATCACGACCGAATGAACGATACACGAACAAACAATATTGTATACAATAAAAAGAAATGCAGAAAGAAAGAAGATATTGTAATTTCCACGAAGGAGAAATGGTATACATATTATTTGCACGGTTCATTCGTAATTTATTCGGGGCACTCGGTTTCTGTATCATTTCGTCCAATTTTTCAGCCGATTAAATATAATTCAGTGCAGAAAATATCCTCTACAACATTCCCTTTTGCCTATGACAAATTTCACGCATCAACCTCCCGGCGCAACAAACTCCACTGAACACAGCTCTGCACATTGCCATCTACAAAAGGGTGAAATTTCAATTCTTCAAACAGCAAAACCTCATTAACCTCACGATTTCCCGCAGGGGGGCGTCTAAGGGCGTCCGGGGCTTGGCGATCCCCCGGGCAAAGCCCGAGCCGGTTTACCATTACCGAGAGGAGTGAGGTCCCTCCACTGGAAGTGCTGCTGGTGTCCACCCACGAACATCCCACCGATGATGTCCGGCCTTTCCAAGCCACGTTGGGGGCTGTGGCGGGCATTCCGCCCTCCCCTAACCATCCGGGCTGGGCCAGCAGAGGCTTGTGCCAGTGTGGCGCTCGCACCTGCGGCCACAGCACCGTTGGCTGGCTGGGTTTGGTGTAGGATTCGAAGTGGCAGTGGTTAGGCCGCATGCTGGCTAGGGGCCCTTTTTCCAGGCTCCAACGTGTGAGTTGCGAACAACTCCGGGACCAATCTGGAGAATTAGTAGAGTGTTGGAAAGTCGCTCCGTGCCACCCGGGAAGGATTCCTCCTCACAAGTGGCCCTTAGACGGGTAGGTGTTCAACCTGTACCCTTCGAGGGTCTAGTTGGGCAGCCGCGCTGACTGGGCGTATCCTAATCCTCCGCCATTGGGGGCCGTCTGGTTTTACGGCGGAAGCTAGGTACCGGACGTTAAACTACCACGACTCTAACCTCACGATTATACATACGATTCCGTGGGACAAATTCTATGCAGAAAGACTTTTCCAACCTGACTCCATTATGTTTATGTACATTCCCCTTTCTCTTTCTATTTTCTCTCACCATCGTAACACGCTTCAAACTACGAGGCGCAAAATATGAATCAAAGAACGTACAATTTTTCTCTTAGAAACGAATCGAATAATACGCTTACCGAAACTTCGTTCACGTCTTCGTTTTAATTAGACGAAGAAATTCAGCCAGCTATCCAGGTGAAAAAAAATAAAAAAGAAGAAATCTGTATATCCTTCTCTCTCTCTCTCTCTGTTTCTCGTTATTACGCAGTCGCGAGCTATTGTTCCGGGATATAAAATCCTGGCTGGTTACAAGTGTCGAGTAGAGAGAATCGTTTTATGATAATCTCGGGGGCAGCTAGCAATTTATCCGGCGCGCTGAATTCTGTAAATAGAAAAAGCGGAGGCGAGGGCAACGGCGGAACGGTTACAGTATAGTGACCGAAACGCTGGAATAAGAGAAAGGAGGTGGAAAAGAACATGGCCGACCCTGCGGCCCCGCAGACACACCAGAGCCCTCGTTTATTTGTCGATCAACAACAGCCTCGTCGTTTTTGCAGCCTCTCTATTTCACGACTTGAAGCTTCTTTCGAACGAGCTCTTTACGTTTGCTCCGTTTCACCCCCAGCTGTTTTCTTCCTCTTTTTCTTCCTCCTCTTCTTCTGACGTTTTTCTTTTTAGTCGTTCATTCGTTCATCGGGAGAAGGGCAATGGGGTAGATTAAGTTTTCTCGAAGAACAGGCGCTGACAGAGAGCTAATTTAAGACTGCTAGACGATTTTTTCTTTTTTTTTTTAGGGACAGCAACAAATTTTCATTTCTCGTTCGTAATTTCGTTTCTATTTTTTTTTTTTAAGGTTATGTCGAAAGGTTAAGGTAATGGATCATCTGTGACCCGTGTTATTTGCGTGTTTAGAAGGATCATGGGATATACTGGGTGGGGCGAAAGCTTTGTTCAGCTGGAATACTTTTGTTATTTACAATAATATGGAATGTCGAGGTTAAGTAGAGCACACCCTGTATAATATGTTGGTATAAATTGTGATACACTCAAGAGGTGTGTTTGAAATGCAAGAGATTATGGTAGATAAATGTGAATGTTGTAAATGATGCCAACTAGTATTGAAATGTTATATTATTATCAAGATGAAAACGTATTTATTAACAGGTTAGATTAAATTATTGTCATTTATATTTCTAGCAAACATTATAACATCCTCCTTTAATTTTTGTCTACAGTAAAAATAACGCTATTGAAACTATATTGTAACTTAATAAAAACTTCTCAATTCGGAATAATTAAGTATGTTAAAATAACTGTAGTTTTCGTCTGAGACACCTTATGTACATAAGATAGGAAACGTTGCCGTTTTCTTAACCAGATTTCATTGTTTCTCGCTTCATAAAGTTTTTTTCTCACGCCTTATAAATCGGTTTGTTTTTCCTTTATCCTTTTGTTTTTTTATCAGTAATCGCTATAAGGCGTTTTTAGGCGTCGTTTTCAACGTTGAAAAATTCTAACAGGCTGTCGAAATATTACGACCTTATAGTCCATAAAACACGTCGCGTCCTTTTATTTCCCGCCATTGAGGCAGCTACTCTCTTTCTAATTAATTGAATTATAACTCTGAGCGGTTAATAGCATTACCGCGAGTGTCTATAAAAGTGAATGAAGCCTCTGGAAACCTTGACAAAGTTTTCCACTACATCAATGAAACATTTATACGTGGCCAGATTTATCGTAATCGAATCTCTCGTCAATACATACTTTTATTGCATGAAAAACCACGATAATTACAATAAATAATATTTGCATTATTGTTTTTAATTTTCTGTACAGTTACATGTACTGGGTAGACAGATAAATGTTGGGAAATTTAGTAGCAAACAATTAATATCTAAAGTAACATTTAATTTAATTAAGTAAGATTTATTATTTTTAATATTTCTTCGTAACATTCAATTCCACTTTCAGTTTAATTTACTCTTACAAGTAGTTATTTCTTCAAATGTTCAAAATAAAAGTTAAAAGTAATATCGGCGTTTAGGGAGTATGATTAATGTGATCTTACGTTAAATTGATAATAAGTTTAGCAATGTTAGATTAATAGATCCTGCTAGGCTCTATATCTTCATCAGAAAGTTGCTACATAACACATTGTATCGCGGTTCGACATCAAATTGGCGAAAGATACCAGCAGCATCATAAAACAGATGGTTTATACAAGGTGACCCATTGATTACTATCATTTCGATATCTCCAAAATAAGAAACTTAAATAGAAATTTGATCAATAACAGATTTATTTAATAAAATCTTCACAAATTA